TTCTGGTGTAATACCAAGGCGGAAGTACGGAGTAGGAAGGTCCGAAGAGGGGAGAGAAGTGGATTTTCAATTTCGACGGATATACTAGGTCGCGTGCTCGACGCGGTAGCGAATGATTCTCATCTGTTATCCCTTTATTGTAACTCCTTTTGTAACAACATCAATATTACATTGACCCTTAGATTCCAGATAGGAAAACGCGCACTCGTAACCCCGAAATTGCGAAATTCTGGCTCCAAGATGAGCTGAAGATTATATTCGGCTGCCTGAAAATTCCAGATAACTATTTAGATAATTCTCTAATAGAGATTGTATTATTTGTAAAATAGCACATCGCGCTATTTATATCGTCGTTCGGGAAATTGTTTTAACGTTGAGAAAACAAGATCAAAATTCGCTTCGGAGTTCAAAAGCGAAGTCTGCAACAGCAATAATCTTATTCGCTTCGCGTAATAGGGCGAACTCTATTAGGCGCCATTATAGAAGCACGCTCCCTTCGATCTACATCGCCCTCCCTCTTTCTGGCCTCTTCTTCTCTTTCTCTTCGCACTCTCAACTTTGGGATTCCACGGAGCACGTGGCCCAGATCTTTTATGCTAGGGTTTCCAGGGGAGCTCGCGCGCCATTTGCTCACATCGCGGCTGACATCTTTAACTTGCGAAATGGGATCTTCTACTCTCCCCCTTTCACCCTTCCCTCTCTATCTCTTTTGACCTAACGACTATTGGGATGGATAATTGCGAGCTACGACTGCCCTTAGATACGCAGGCGGGGAAAAGAACGTCGCTGTGTAAAACGAGCAAATGGACAAGATTTATGGCTGAGAACAACGAACAACAAAGTTTTATTCGCGAAAGAAACGCTGCTTGAGTTAGCAGAGGATGTCTTCGATTCTCAAATCCGTTCCGTTTGTCTTCTTGCTTACATCTTGTCTCGCAAAGTTACCTAGCCTATCTTTCAAACAAGATTCGTTGTTTTATACTTCACTCTTATATTTTCGGTTATATATCCAAGGATGTTTTTATGGGAAACCTTTTCGAGTTAAAATTTATAGTGAACGGTCGACTCTTAAAAGAACGTAATTTAATCGACCGTGAATAGATGCCGAAAATAAATTTAACATTTATGCGCGTAGCGTGCAAAAATTTATTTATCTATTTAATTAATTAATTAATTTAAATATTTTTGATATTATAAATTTATTTTATCGTAAAAATAAACGCAAAACTTTTTCAGATCATTATCGTAATAGCCATATAATACCCGTGTAATCACATAACAATTAAGTTAATGAGAACGCTGATGGGTAACCGCTAAGGGTTTCCGTAATTATGTTATAATATTATCTGAAACTTCTTTAAGATTTTATAACATTATTTTCTCATTTCATAAGTTTTTGTTTTAATTTTATTTCATTATACATATTATACACTCTTCTTCCACTACGTAATTTCTCGTGTCTAATAAGCGTTCCTAATAACCATTCCATGGTAACTAATGCATTTATGCATTTTCCATGGATCATGTCCTCACTTAATGATCTACATAAGTATCGACGTCGTTTCCACTTTCGGGGGAATCTTCTCTTCAGATCATTCTTCTCTTGCCGACCTACTTAAGGATGCAGCAGGTTAGGCGGATCTTTTAAATCAGGATTTCTGGAATCGAGCGCATGGCTTACTCGCATCGTAAATGGTAGACTCAGATCTCACAATAGCACCGCGTTCTTTGAACTCGGCGATCAAGGATACTCAAGAGCCACTATTTTCCACAAGCTCCTGCATAAGAATGTATCGAAGTCGATAGAGAAGAGGATATTTATCATGCTGTAGGATAAAATCCTTTGTGTAAGTTTAATAAAAGCGCGTAGTGTAGCGAGATGTAAAGAGTAATATTTCAAACGATTACGAAATAAATAAAAATCCCATGTTAAATTGGAGGTCCAAATTAAGAATTTGATTAAGACTAATAAAGAGAATTTTGGAATGATCAGAGAATAAAGTAGAATATATATCTATCTAATTAAGAACTGTGATATTCATCATTGCGAAACGTGAAATTATGTCGGAACTGTCAAGGATGAAATATGAAATATCAGAACTTCCCGAATTAATTACAAACTTCGTGCACGAAGAAAACAGAGAGGAGAGAGGAGAGAGGAGAGAAGGGGGAGAGAGAGAGGAGAGAGGGGAGAGAGAGGGGGGGAAAGAGAGAGGGG